TGGACCAGGGGCGGACTGACCATTTGGAAACTCGGGCACTGCCCGAGGGCCCGGGGTCAGTAAGGGGCCCCATGAGATGTCCCTGGTACCTTTTCATAGGCTTTTTTTTGAGTTTGGGCAAGGACACAGGGGCCCCATGATCCCCTATTGCCCGGGGGCCTCATGAGTTGTCAGTCCACCCCTGATATGGATGAAGCATTTCCCCATTCTTCAAAAATTCCTACAGCATGTTTGCAATTTCTGACCACCTCTTGTAAAATGTCTGTATTCTTTGACCACCTCTTGTTGCACGTTTGTGTATCTGATAAATTTCTGTAGCATTACATTCAGCAAGTATTATGCACAGCCCTTTGGGGATGTCAGGGGGCCACATTTGAGGCCCTGTATAACAATTAAGATGACCCCCAACTATTCTAAGGTGTCACAGAAGTGTCTATGTTTTGCTCGTTTAGAATGTAATTAATTCTTGTGACTAAGGTATTGCAATGCCACCCTCTATACAAAGTGTATGAGGCCACAATAGGAAGAAGCAGTGTGTTCTGACATGTGACATCTTCATGTCCTGGCAAAGTTACTCAATAGAATTCTACAGGCGATCTTCATATTATTATTATTATTATACAGTATTTATAAAGCGCCAATAGTTCGCTCAGCGCTGTACATTACAAAGGGGGACAGAACATGTGACAGAACAATACCAATACAATGCAAAACATGAGGGGATCGAGGGCCCTGCTCCTTGGAGCTTACAATCTAGGAGGGAGGGGATGGTGGCACAGGAGGAGATAGCTGTGGGGGATGGAGTGGTAGGAAGAGTGGAGGAGGTTGGCAAGTTAGCAGGGGGTGGGGTAGGCTTCCCTGAGGAGGTGGGTTTTCAGGGCCTAAAGGAGAGGAGAGTAGGTGATAATCTGATGGGTTGGGGCAGGGAGTTCCAGAGGATGGGTGACACCCTGGAGAAGTCCTGGAGTCGGGCTTGGGAGGAGGAGACCAGGGAACTAGAGAGAAGGAGGTCTTGTGAGGAGCGGAGTGTGCCTGCTGGGTGGTACTTGGATATTAGGTCAGTGATGTAGTTTGGGGCAGTATGGTGGACGGCTTTGTACGTCAGTGTTAGGATTTTGAATTTGATCCGTTGCGCAATCGGGAAGCCAGTGGAGGGATTGGCAGAGAGGGGTGGAGGACACTGAGTGGAGGCCAGTGGAGGGATTGGCAGAGAGCGGTGGAGGACACTGAATGGAGGTCAGTGGAGGGATTGGCAGAGGGGGGTGGACTGGACAGGCCTGAGTGGCAAGGGGGGTGGAGGACCAGTGGAGTGGAGGGATTGGCAGAGGGGGGTGGAGGACACTGAGTGGAAGCCAGTGGAGGGATTGGCAGAGGGGGGTGGAGGACACTGAGTGGAGGCCAGTGGAGGGGTTGGCAGAGGGGGGTGGCGGAAACGGAGCGGTTGGAAAGGTGAATGAGTCTGGCAGCCGTATTCAGGATGGACTGAAGCGGGGATAGCCAGCGGCAAGGCAGGCCAGTGAGGAGGGAGTTGCAGTAGTCGAGTTGTGATATGATGAGGGAGTGGATGAGCAGTTTAGTGGTTTCTGGGGTTAGGAACGTGCGGATTTTGGCGATGTTGCGGAGGTGGAGTCTGCGTGTTGCAGGTGGAGTCTGCATTTGTTAAAGAGATTGGACTTGGGGCTGGAAGGATAGGTTGGAGTCCAGAATGACTCCAAGTACTCTGGCCTGCGGGGCGGGTTTGATGGTGGCGTTGTTGGATGTGATGGAGAAGTCAATGGGGGGTGGTGTCCGGGCTGGGGGGAAGACAAGAAACTCGGTTTTGGAGAGGTTCAGTTTAAGGAAGTGGAGCGACATCCAGTCTGATATGTCGCTCAGTAGGTGTGTGATTCGGGCGGAGAGTGAGGTGGTGAGGTGGGGGGTTGAGAGATAGATTTGTGTGTCGTCGGCATAGATATGTCCATGTATTCTATTTTTAACAGAAGCCTGCGTACCATTGCACAGGAGCCTCTTACAGTCATGGACCCCAATACAAACCGAACAGAGCAGAATGAACATTATATCTTACAATCTGTTGATTTTGGTTGACAGTTGGAGATTTATAGGATCACCTCACTAGATGTATGTCACATGGAACAATGCAAACCAATTCATTTTAAATGAAACCTGGTCCCTCATGTCATATTTTAAAACGAACCTATTAGAAAAAGTTAAACGTTTTCTTTCACTGTCTGTTTTTTTTTTTTCTTAACTAAGAATCTAACATCAAAGGGGCAAAGAAAACATACATTCCAATCAAATCAGAGCAGAACACAAAGCAACTGTGAATTTGTCAGATTTTGTGGGGGCTCCATTGACAATATCTGAGTGTCAACCATCCTGAATCCCTGAGATAAAAGTGATCTGTGTTAGCGGAGTAGTTTATACTTTAGCCCTCGTTTCACAGTATAGCTAGGTTTTCTTTTTTATCCACTGGGTTTGCAGCTGCCCATACATAACAGTCAATAGGTTAAACATGCTCAGCTTGTATGTTGGGCTGAGAGTCCGAGAATTCCCAAAAGAGAAGAAAATCCCTGGCTCCTGTACAAAGAAAACACTGTACTTTGCTCCAAGGAGCTTTTTGTGGCAATTTAAATGTACAGAGACAGACACAATATCCTGCAGAAGCAAAATCTACCTTATAACATTCCTGACCTGAAGAAGAAGATATGACCCCCGGAGGAATAGGAGGTGCAGGATCTATTCAGACAAATGCACTGTCATCCTTAAAGCTACTGATTGATGCTTTTTAATCCCCTTCTTGTTGCAGCACATATAGTTGTATGTATGTGATATGGATATATTCTGTTTGAAATGTTTTAAATATAATAAAATCAGTGCAAAGCCTGTAATAATACAGTCAACTCTGCAATGTGTTGCTCATATTTTACTGTTAATGCATTGTCTATGTCATAATAATGCTTCAAATACCGTAAGTTGTAGGGATGGCTATATATCATAAATCAATCTAAAATGAACAGTTACCCACTTAATGTACCTTACACAAGTATTACATACAGTACATGTACAAAAAGAAGGAAAAAGTAGAGCGGTTTCCCACAGCAACTAATTAGATCATTAGATTGTAAGCTCTTATGAGCAGAGCCCTCCTAACCAAGGGCGGACTGACCATTTGGAAACTCGGGCACTGCCCGAGGGCCCGGGGTCAGTAGGGGGCCCCATGAGATGCCCCTGGTAAAAAATTTAAATCCCAGCGGTGAATAAATACCACCAAAATAAAATGTTATCTGTTTCAAAAAAATTATAAAAAAATTCATATGGGTACAGTGTTGCATGACCGCGCAATTGTCATTCAATGTGTGATAGCGCTGAAAGCTGAAAATTGCCTGGGTCAGGAATGGGGTATAAGTGTCCGGACAGGCAAGGGTGGACTGACCATTTGGAAACTCGGGCACTGCCCGAGGGCCCGGGGTCAGTAGGGGGCCCCATGAGATGCCCCTGGTAAAAAATTTAAATCCCAGCGGTGAATAAATACCACCAAAATAAAATGTTATCTGTTTCAAAAAAATTATAAAAAAATTCATATGGGTACAGTGTTGCATGACCGCGCAATTGTCATTCAATGTGTGATAGCGCTGAAAGCTGAAAATTGCCTGGGAGGAAGGGGTAAAAGTGTCCGGACAGGCAAGGGCGGACTGACCATTTGGAAACTCGGGCACTGCCCGAGGGCCCAGGGTCAGTAGGGGGCCCCATGAGATGCCCCTGGTCCCTTTTTCATAGGCTTTTTTGAGTTTGGGCAAGGACACAGGGGCCCCATGATCCCCTATTGCCCGGGGGCCCCATGAGTTGTCAGTCCGCCCCTGCTCCTAACCCTCTTGTATTTTATTGTATTGTAACTGCACTGTCTCCCTTTAGAAGCTGGGAAGCAGAAAGTGCTGTGTCTGGAGGAGGACTAGAGGAGGGCTGGAGTAAGCTGTCAAGAGTCAGCTTAATGCTGAGATCAGGGGAGGTGGAGATGGGGGGTGCTGGGGCTGCACAGAGAGGTGCAGGATCTGTAGGAGGAGTTCTGTCCTCCTCTCTGCTGCCGACTACTGTGACAAAGTGGGGGCAGAGACGAGGGGAGCCACAGCTGCAAGAGAGATGCAAGGGCCACATGAAATGGCCTGGCAGGCCAAATGTGACATTTATGAAAAGCCTAAGGGGACTATTGGTAGCTTTTTTTTTTTTTTTTTTTTTTTTAAAAAGCAGATATGTTCAAAGCTAAATACAGAAACAATGCTGTTTTAGACAGATTAAAAACAAATTAACAAATAGAGCAGCTGTGTATGCCTGGCATTAAAATGTTAAGATAACATCCCATTCATACATATAATATTCATTCATCATTTCATATTATGTCCTAGGAACCAAATGTCCATCATGCTTGCCCTGGACATAATTATAAAAGTCATATCAATAAATACAGAACAGAAAAGGGATCTTGTATTGTAACTGCACTGTCTCCCTTTAGATTGTAAAGTACTGTGCAAACTGTTGGCTATATATTTTATGAATAATAATAATAATCATGCCTTCAATTCCAACTCCCTCCTAGATTGTAAGCAGGAAAGAGCAGGGCCCTCGAACCCCTCGTGCATTGTATTGTTACTGTATTGTCTCATGTTCTATCCCCCACTTTAACCTCCCTGGCGGTATGATTCTTTCCGATTTTTTGTGCTGAAAGTGGTACATTTTTTTGCATGGAAATATGTAGTTTTTTATTGTAGACCTGTAATTTTTAGGAATAACTCCCTGAAATCTGTCCGAACAAGAGTCTAGTAAACATCCCGGAGATGATAAAACTTGAAACACGAAATCATAAATTATAATTTAATAAATAATCATAAAAAATAATAATATAATAATAATAAATTTAATTCAATAATATAATCAAACCAAAAACACTGAAATGTGAAATACAGAGGCAAATTCGCACATTGCTGAGCAAAGTCGCAAAATCATTTTCAGTGTCTGATGACGAATTTCCCCCACAAATCATTATCACTCAATTCTGCAAGTGGTTCTGATTTACTATCGCTGTTCTCTAGCCGGTCTAAAACCGATTTTGACGTAAAGGGACGCTTTTTGGACGCCATGGACTTTTCTAAGTTTCCAGGCAGAAAGAACAGTCAAAATGCAGACAGGGGACAGGACAAAGCAGTCGGGACAAAATGTATGTGAAATGCTTTGAAACAGCAATGACAGCAAAAATGAAATTTTTTAAAAATTTAAAATTTCCCGCCGGTACCGGCGCCGTACGTCCCGACGTCACAGGGACCGGAACACAGAAGCCGGATGCCGGCATCGGCCGGAGGAGATGGCCGGGGACGCTGCAGGGGACACATCGCGGGAGCGAAGGACAAGGTAAGTGCTGCAGGGACCCTCGGAGAACGTCGCATGGTAAGCCCGAGTGCAGCTCGGAGTTACTGCTCTTGGTATTGAAATTTTTACCCTGAACTACACTCGGGAATACCGCCAGGGGGGTTAATGTACAGCGCTGAGCAAACCTTCTGCCGCTATATAAATACTGTATAATAATAATAATAGAATCATAGTTTTGGATGTTAATGGTTGATGTGAGCAGCCTTTTTACTTATGTGATCGCTACGTGTGAGCAACAAAGAACCTGAGTTTAAGAAAACACATCCATTATTTCTGCTTGGTAATACCAAACATATGAATCATTTCATGTGACCTTTCTTTATATACTGTTTGATTGTGCTGTTATCTAGTAGTGTAACTGCACTTTAACTTCAAAAGCAAACTAAGGGACACAGTTAACATTTTTTTTCAAAGCAATACAGAGGTTAATGCCAGACTAAAAACCTATGGCTTAGATGTACTGCCTTTCACAGCAGTGTTGCTGCTGGGACTCTCCTGTAAGCTCTGTCAACACTGTTCTGAAAGCCAACTACAGCGCGATACGGTTTCACCTTCTTTGAGCAGCCCGTGTTCTGCTTCAAGAAATGGAATCCAGCAGGAAGCTAGTTAAGGAGGTGGTATTTATGATGTGACAGCTATCCCCCGGTATCTCTACTTTACTGGCTTCTGCAGTCTCTCTGGACAGTGCAACAGTAAACGTGGCCTCTACTTTCTCTCTGGCCTTTTTAGCACTCTTGGAGAACATAACTTCATCACATTGAGAAAACAAGTGATAACACCATAAAGGGGGGGCGGGTAAAAAAAAAAACACAAGTTAGTAAATGTATAATTTGCTGTTCATGCACAACTATAAGATCATCTAGATCAGTGGTACTTAATCTTGTTGGAGGTACTGAACCCCACCGGTTTCATATGCGCATTCACTGAACCCTTCTTAATTGGAAAAATAAAATATGATGGATTTTTTAAAATTCAAAACATAGGTATATATTTATACATAGGTGCACAAAATGAACAAAACCGTTAAGAACAAAACCATTAAAACATGATTTTCACACAAAAAACAAAAACATAATAATGAATATTTACTGCACGAATCATATGAGTCGGGTGTGTGGGTCTTTACCTCCGCTGAACCCACGAGACTGACTCACCGAACCCCTGGGGTTCGATCGAACCCAGGTTAAGAACCACTGATCTAGATTGATTTATTTATTAACCTCCCTGGCGGTATGATTCTTTCCGATTTTTTGTGCTGAAAGCGGTACATTTTTTTGCATGGAAATATGTAGTTTTTTATTGTAGGCTGTAATTTTTAGGAATAACTCACTGAAATCTGTCCGGACAAGAGTCTAGTAAACATGCCGGGTAGGATAAAATTTGAAACACGAAATCATAAATTATAATTTAATAAATAATCATAAAAAATAATAATAGAATAATAATAAATTTAATTCAATAATATAATCAAACCAAAAACACTGAAATGTGAAATACAGAGGCAAATTCGCACATCGCTGAGCAAAGTCGCAGAATCGTTTTCAGTGTCTGATGATGAATTTCCCCCACAAATCATTATCACTCAATTCTGCAAGTGGTTCTGATTTACTATCGCTGTTCTCTAGCCGGTCTAAACCTGCTTTTGACGTAAAGGGACGCTTTTTGGACGCCATGGAGGTTTCTAAGTTTCCAGGCAGAAAGAACATTCAAAATGCAGGCAGGGCACAGGACAAAGCACTCGGGACAAAATGTATGTGAAATGCATTGAAACAGCAATGACAGCAAAAATGAAATTTTTTAAAAATTTCAAATTTCCCGCCGGTTCTGGCGCCCGTACGTCCCGACGTCACAGGGACTGGAACACGGAAGCCGGATGCCGGCATCGGCCGGAGGAGATGGCCGGGGACGCTGCAGGGGACGCATCGCTAGGGGGAGCGAAGGACAAGGTAAGTGCTGCAGGGACCCCCAGAGCAGCGCCGCATGGAAAGCCCGAGTGTAGCTCGGGGGGGTTACCGCTCTTGGTACTCAAATGTTACCCCGAGCTACACTCGGGAATACCACCAGGGAGGTTAAAGGTACAAATATAACGCCGTCAATTTACGCAGCGCTTTACATAAATATTGTACATTCACATCAATCCCTAAACCTCAAGGAGCGTACAATCTAAGGTCCCTAACTTACATTCATACATACACCTTCTAGGGCCAATTTAGACAGGAGCCAATTAACCTACCAGCATGTTTTTTTTTAGAGTACCCGGAGGAAACCCAAACAGGCACAGGGAGAAATTGCAAACTCCGTGCAGGTAGTGCTGTGGTTGGGTTTTCGAACCAATGACCCTAGTGCTGCTCAGCAGAATTACTAACCACTTAGCCACTATGCTGCCCATGTGCTATTTGCCATCATTTTCTGTCGGACTAAAATACTATAGTTGTTATCATTGCTCAGTTCCTAAAACACGGTTTTAAGTTTAGTAGACAAGTGTACTTTTACTTACATTCACCCCCTACTGCATCCCCTTCCCATAGATACTCCCTTCTACTCACCATCAGCAGATAGGTACATGAACCTGTTGGAGCCTGGCACTGAGGTCAGAAGGTGTCCATACTGGACTCCCTCCCCAGGAACCGTGCCCATTAGACTGACGGGCACATGGCTGAGGAGTTTTTTTTAGTGTGTTGGGCCGAGTCTGAAGGGGAACTGAGAAACTAGTTCCCCATCAGATCTGCTGTCAAGGTCCTACCTTTTCCCAGAGGTTATGTTTACTCCATGTACTGGCGTCCATCTTGGATTTTCTGCTGTGCATGGTGGGAATCTTTTATGCCTTCAGGTCTGAGGTCCATCCCCCAGAGGGGTGTGGCTGATGACATATAAGCCTGTGGTCCGCACATGCTCTTTGCACTTGTGTCTTGTGTCGCTATAACTCTGTTCTGACTCTCGTGACTCTCCTGGTATCTGATTCGGCTTGTGACCTGACTATTATTTGTGTTCTCCTTTGATCTGACCCTCTGTTGCTGAACCCGGCCCGTGACCCGTGATTCTTATCTGCTGTCCTGTACCGTTTTGTCCCATTTGTTGTCGACCCGGCCTGCCTGACTACTCTATTGTCTTTTCCACCAGCTACATGCCATTGATGGCGGCCATTACCGCAACTGAGGTGTCTCTCGGGGTCCACGACCTGGTTCCTGGGCTGCGTCAACAGTCCATCCCCACCATCAGGGGCCCTGGTGAAGTGCAGCCTGGCACTTAGACTCCGCGCCCCTGAGGGACTTCGGTCTGTGTGGTGGTGGGTTGTCGTCAGCCAGTGCATTACATTGTTATTAGGCCTACCTGTCTGTTCCTCAGCTCCTGCCCTGACATCTGCCTTGAAATTGACTGACAGCCCATGGCAGTGTGAGGATCTATAGCCACTAATCAGTACAATTGTGGCTTTTGAGTCCCTCACACTGCCACACATTGTCAATCAAACATAAGGTGGACCTAGTGACTGGAGTATTTTCCCAAATAAGGTATTACCCATTTCTGGGTAATTATATCACCACTATCCCTGTCCTATTTTTTTTATATTTAGGTGGTTGTAAACCTCAGAGATAAAAATATGAACAAAGCATATACCTCTATAGGGTGTACTTGTCTAAATTCAGATCATTAAGTGTCATTCTGTCTCCTCTGCCATCAACAGGGGCGGACTGACAACTCATGGGGCCCCCGGGCAATAGGGGATCATGGGGCCCCTGTGTCCTTGCCTAAACTCAAAAAAGCCTATGAAAAAGGTACCAGGGGCATCTCATGGGGCCCCATACTGACCCTGGGCCCTCGGGCAGTGCCCGAGTTTCCAAATGGTCAGTCCGCCCCTGGCCATCAACATGAGTTCTGATACCATTTGCTGACACCAAAAGGAAAATGATGACAGGGGAGGGACCCTCCAGCAGATTGACAGCTTTAGCTGTGTCACTGTGTGCTGTGTGAGGGGGTGTGTCCCTTCCCTCCAATCAGCTCTCAGAGCTCTCCTCACTGATGTAAACTTCAGTCTCCACCCCCTGCTTTCCAGAGCTGAGAGATCCTGTGTAATATCTGCACTTTGAATAGATGTAGTGGACAGACGGTGTAGATAAACAGATACAATGTATGTAGGACGATTTGTTTAATCTCTGTGTATAGGTCAGTCACTTCACTGGGTATAGGTAGACATCTACAACCATTTTTACATTTATCTGTATGCCAACCAAGAGCTGATCTTAATTACCTCCGGTTTCTAAAATCTGCAAAATGACAGTAACTCTTTAGGAACCTGTTTGCTGCCACAGCTGTAGGTTCCTAAAGCTGGGCAGTTAGAACAACCTGAAATTGTCTCCCATGTATGTAATGTTATTAACCATTTGCCGCCCGCCCTATGGCCGAATGGCAGCCGGCAAATGTCATCAGCGTTCCGGGTGGACGCCAAATGACGTCCTCCCGCACATGCGCAGATTGCGCTCCTGCAGAGCGGTACAGCGGGTGCGATCTGTCAACCGGCCATGTACCTCAGACACGGTCAATGACAGATCTGAGTATCGGCCCCGTTGCCGGTACCATGTGACCTGCTGTGATTGGTCACAGCAGGTCACATGACAGTTGTATACAATGGATGGCTTCATTCATGCCATCCATTGTATACTAGTGCCTAGCTGTGAATGGTCACAGTGATCACATGCACATGTCATGTGATTACCTGTGGCTAAATCACAGCTAAGTACAAAAAAAAAAAAAGCCCTGAATGAATCGATGTCATTCAGGTAAATGCTTGCTTATAGCAAAGTAATTCTTTGCTATAAGCAAATTGTGTAAAACAAAAAAAGAAAAAAAAAAAAAAAAAAAAAAAATACTGATCACTTCCCCAAAGTAGTACAATGTTATTATGGTAATATTGTACTACTTTGGTCATAGTGAAATATGAAAAAAAAATTTAATAAAAAAATAATAAAATAAAATTAAAAAAAAATATTTTTTTTTTTTTTCATACTGTCACCAGTCAGTGTCCCTGATCACCGCCCATGCCCAGTTATATGATGACGCTGTACTGCACTGGTGACAGGATGTAAAAAAAAAATAGTGAAACAAATTTTTTTAATTTTTCATTTTCCGAAAAATTATGACAAAAAAAATACAACTTCAAAAAACTCACCATTCCTCTTATGAAGTACGTCGGACTGTCTACTCTGCAAGAAGGGGCCATTTGGGGATTTGGGGGATATCTGTACTGTCCTGACATTTGGGGGATATCTGTACTGTCCTGACATTTGGGGGGATATCTGTACTGTCCTGACATTTGGGGGATATCTGTACTGTCCTGACATTTGGGGGATATCTGTACTGTCCTGACATTTGGGGGATATCTGTACTGTCCTGACATTTGGGGGATATCTGTACTGTTATGACATTTGGGGGATATCTGTACTGTCCTGACATTTGGGGGATATCTGTACTGTCCTGACATTTTGGGGGGATATCTGTACTGTCCTGACATTTGGGGGATATCTGTACTATTCTGACATTTGGGGGATATCTGTACTGTTCTGACATTTGGAGGGATATCTGTACTGTCCTGACATTCTTGGACCTCAAGAAATTAGATTGGCTGTCAGTACTTCAGGATTGATCAATATTCAGATCTATACCATAGTTTTGTGAACTCTATAACTTTCCTACAAACTAAAAAAAAATCCTAATTTGGGTTATTTTCACCAAAGACATGTAGCAGAATACATCTTGGCCTAAATTTATGAAGAACAATTATTTATTTGCAAAATTTTATAACAGAAACAAAGAAAAACTTTTTTTTTTTTTTTCAAAATGTTTGGTCTTTTTTTTTGTTAATTTAGCAAAAAAAAAAAACCCCGGCGGTGATTAAATACCACCAAAAGAAAGCTCTAGTTGTGTGTGAAGAAAATTATAAAATTTTAGTACCATGGGTACAATGTTGTATGACCGCGCAATTGTCATTAAGCGCTGAAACCTGAAAACTGGCCTGGGCAGGAAGGGGGTAAAACTGCCCGGTATTGAATTGGTTAAACAGACACAAATGCTTGCTTGAAATAGTAGTAGGCAGTTCTAAATGGACTTACAACCACAAAAGTGTAGGTAAGACTTTACTGAAATCCCCAGAGCGTGGAGAATATGGAGAAAAACTGTACTGGAATGTTTTTATTAATGTGACCGTTTCCCGCAAAGGGGGTTATCCCCGGCACCATTCAGCCGCTGAAGATTTCCCGAACGAAAGCTAAATGTAAACAAAGGGGCCATGGATAGTAGTGATGTCATTACCCAATATTGGTAATGTCCATATTTGGGAAATGGCTTAAGTCACTAGGTAGGTTGAGCTTGATGGGGGACTGACAGTGCATGGCAGTGAGTGGATTTGAAACCTGCTATTAACCTCCTAGCGGTCTGATTATTTCAGATTGTTTGTGCTGAAAGCGGTACATTTTTTTGCAAGGAAATATGTATTTTTTTATTGTAGTTCTGTAATTCTTAGGGAATAACTCACTGAAATCTGTACTGAACAAAAGTCTAGTAAACATCCCGGGGAGGATAAAACTTGAAACACAAAATCATAAATTATAATTTTAATAAATAATCATTAAAAAATAATAATATAATAATAATAAATTTAATTCAATAATATAATCAAACCGAAAACACTGAAATGTGAAATATAGCGCCAAGTTCGCACATCGCTGAGCAAAGTCGCAGAATTGTTTTCAGTGTCTGATGAGGAATTTCCCCCACGAATCATTATCACTCAATTCTGCAAAGTGGTTCTGATTTACTATCGCTGTTCTCTAGCCGGTCTAAAACCGCGTCTGACCTAAAGGGACGCTTTTTGGACGCCATGGACGTTTCTCAGTTTCCAGGCAGAAAGAACATTTCAAAATGCAGACAGGGGACAGGACAAAGCACTCGGGACAAAATGTATGTGAAATGGGTTGAAACAGCAATGTTTTACTATGTAAAATCATTTTGAAAAAAAATGACATTTTTTTAAAATTTTTCAAATTTTCCCGCCGCCGGCGGCGCCCGTACGTCCCAACGTCACAGGGACCGGAACACAGGAGCCGGATGCCGGCATCAGCTGGAGGAGATGGTCGGGGACACTGCAGGGGGACACATCGCGCGGTGAGGGAGCGCGAAGGACAAGGTAAGCGCTGCAGGGAATCCCTGAGCAACGCCGCATGGTAAGCCCCGAGTGTAGCTCGGTGGGGGGGGGGGGGTTACCGCTTTTGTGTACAGAAACTTTACCCCGATCTTACACTCGGGAATACACGCCAGGGGGGGGTTTAATTCGAGAAGCTACAAATCTATACATCTTCCAGCATGCTGCAAATCAACATAAA